ATCCTTCTGTCCTCAGTAAGAAATAGAAAATGGCCTTTCCATCTAGGCCAAAAATAAATATGGGGACCATCCATTTAAAAGGTTGAGAGATCAAAATAAATGTAACAATACTGAATATGCATGAAAACAGGATGCCACCTGCATGCACTCAGCATCATGGTGTGGAAGTGTACCCTTAAAGTGGGTCATGTGGAGACAGCACACAGCCTGGCCCATGCACAGCAGGTGCTCCGAGAACAGGACTTCCCTTCACCTTTGAAAAGATAATTCAAACAAACGCTCAACATTAAAAAAAAAAAAAAAGGAAATGCATATATATAGACAGCTAGAAGAGATTTTTAAAAATGAAACCATTATATTTTGCCAGAAGCCCTTTCCTCTGGAAATGTCTCCGGTCACATGTGGGAGGAGATGGGGGAGCCATAATGGGTCTTCCCCCTGAGTGGCACGTGACCTTGTGGTTGACTGGATGAGGGCACCAGCCTTTCTACATTATCTCATTTCCCCTCTAGTCCACTCTATCATTTATGGTCTGATAGAATAATAGGGACTTTTCTTTTCTTCCTTCTTCTGGCTGCCTGCCAGGCTATGGGTAAGGAAAGAGAAAGAAGCCAAAGTTTGGATTAGCCTGACTTTTAATATAGGGGAGAGACCACATCAGCCCTGAACTTGGAGCACACCCTTCCATGCCTAGCACTATATTAAATGCCAGCAGGACATCCAAGTCAGAGATGACATTTTAATTCCAACGAAGTCCTGCTGAGGCACCATAATATATTTGAAAATATATGGGATATGGAATACTTACTACCTTATTATCTTGGGCAGGTTAACCCCACTGAGGCTTAGATACTATGAAACAGGGTTAATTGCATTTACTTCACTAAATTGTTGAGGATTTCAGTCAAAGAACAAAAAAGAGAAAAAAGGAGTAGAACTCATAGGTGCTTATGTAGCGATGAATGAGGAAAGTCATTAAAAATGTGCTATACATGGTCCTCCAGCACTATCTGTTCAATTAATTCAGTGGGAGTATATATTTTATTTTAGAGTGAGTATTGATTGGAAATAGAATTCAGTTAAAATCAACCTTCTTGCAAGATCCTGTTCCATACATCAAGAGATCTTAATAAGAAGGGTTTTAAAAAGGCTTCATATAACATTGTTTCTTGAGGTTTCAGTGCTATAGGCAAGTCCTTTTCAGCCCTTCCACCCATTTAGAACAGTCTCTGATATTTTTTTGTGAGATATTAATGGAATAATATAGCATTACATAAAGACAGAACTAACAGGATATTTGTGATTTTTAGATCTCCAGATTGCCTATATATTACACAATAATTTTGATGAAAATAGTTATGAGTTCCACAGTTGCAATAGATAAATCTCTTGGTAAGTTTCCAATATTCAGACAACATGCATTTTGGCATTGCAAATGTCTGGTTAATGCCTACTCCCAGGTTAGTGATAAGAAGTATGGTGGTCAGGGGTCTCTTAAATGCAACAAACTTGGAAATTATGGTTTTAATAAACCTCTGAATAAGTCTGTGGCCAAATCACGCTGCCTTTACATTTTTCCTTTATCTTTGGCTCTTTTAATTTTTCATTAGTTCTTGTACTATAAGATATACAGGAGAGGATTTGGAACTCAAATAGTAACACTTAACTTCTTACAGAGCCAAAAACCATGTTCAGAATAGAGGATGAAGAGAAAAGGAGTAAATAATAAAACATAATTGTTAAATTATCCCTGGTTCTTGAATGTTCTCTTACCTGTTAAACAATTAGACATGGAGTGGGCTTAGTCAGTTAATGCCTTTTGCCTGGAACTGTCAGTTAATACCCTACATATGTGGGAAATGATCAATCATCCATTCTCATTATCAAAAAATCTCCAATTAAAAAAAAATCAAAACTTCCACTGAGAAGTAATGTGAATCAAAGCAGCTGAGAAGTCGTAAGTCTTTACTCTGCTATAAATATACCATCTCACAATGCTAAGCACCATTGCTAAGCACTTCTTGTTGCAATTCTCCATTTTTAAAATAGATGTAAAAATATGTAGCTCATATTAATGGAATGGGGAGTGCGTGTTAGCTGAGTAGCCACTAGGTATGTTAGCAAATGTACTCTTAAATTCTCCTTGGACATAAAAGATTCCTTTATCTCATCTCTCTCCAATGATTTTTAAACTGCCAATGCAAAGAACTTCTCCCAAATGTTGCTCGAACTTCCCCCCTTTGCTAGTTGTATCATTGAGGATTTTAAATCAAATGTTTGACTCATAAATTAATTGTTGCTCAAAGTTGTTTGCAACAATGGGTGTCTCACTAAGATTATTGAGGGCATTATTTCATAGGATGGTAAATCCAAGGCTATATTTCTTCAGGTATATGGGGAAAAGTCTAGACCATATCTTTATTAAAAATCTTTCATATGCATGTAAAATGACGATGAATTAGCTACAGATAGAAATGTAACCCTCATATTGATTTGTCAAGTTCAAGGAATTATCTAGAAGAGAAGAAAGAGAATAGAGTCAAGCCAAAAATGCCCTTTGCAATTCTGAACTTGAAGGCTCTTATTCTGAATCTGAACTTGCTCTGGACAAACGGATTAACACTAACTCATACTGCAAAAATGCTGGCTTATCTCAGGGGGCTCTAGCAAGGGATAACTTGCTAAGAATAATCAGGAAGGCAAAGCACTCAGCAAATGTGAAGAGTGCTGCAAATTCTTAATAAAAGCTCTCTGATGCTTGGGATGAGAATTGCAATTTATTACTTCGATTACCAATAGTATTGACTCTAGAAAAGTTGGTGCACTTTTCAATTAAATAACAGTTATTCAAACACATGTTCAAGTCAGATGGTAAACAGTGCACAGTAATGAGATACTTTAAAGGAAATTCATGAAGTCTTAACCTATAGACAATATAAAGTCAAGTGTCTGGCATTTATTTATTCATGGTTTTCTATTTGGGTTAGCATGTGGTAATAACCAACGAAGTAACCCCGCCCTCCCCCCACACACACACATAATTGTATTCTATTCATAGACAGACAAATGGTGTCTGATAAGATACTAGCAGTTAGAATAGAGTAATTAAGGACATTGGTGATACTCCAAGAATTTAACCTTCATTTGATCATAATGTAGAGGGCTGACATTTATTATTCAGCTCAATTTCAGGATACAAAGAAATTTTATTTTCATTCTTATAGGAAATGAAATGACTCTGGAGTGCATCAGAAATCCTAACTAAATAAAATTGAAATACCCTCTAGCCCAGGCTGTTAGATTTGTGAACACCTTGTTGTGGGTTTTCAAGGGATGGAAAGGTTTTGATCGTTAGGATATGTAAACACGTAGGTGGAGAATTTCTATAAGGAAGATTTTGCCCCTGGGCACCTCTTTACATTTTCTTTCATTTTCAAGGGACAGGCAGTTTTCTAAATTTTCCATAGAGACCATGGACACAAACCCACGTGAAGTTGTAGGCAAATGATCACTGAGAAAAAGAACACATTTGTTCCCGAGTGATAGTGGCGACTGCTTAAGATTGAGGAGTGCTAAGATCAGAAGTGACTGTGCCTCAGTGTGAGAGTGGGCGTGTACATCAACCACAACACACAAGAGGAAAATGTTTCTGCCTTATGTGAACAAAAAAAAAAAGGAAAGCATAGTGAGAGAAGGTAAAATTTAATGATAAAACCCAAAGATTCTAAAACATCACTGCCTTAAATACCAATTCTGTCCCTTAACAACTGTGCAAGTCATTTAACTACTCTCTGTCTTAGTTTTTTTAAATGTAAAATATGAATAATAATAGCATCTACTTCAAAGATGAGCTGTGAGAACAAGACAGAGCTCAACACATGCTCATATTATGTCACTTCAAAATTTCTGAGCTACTGCCTCCCTTTGATGGCAGCTCCATTTGAATATTGCTCCATTGAAATTGCTAATATCTTTACAAGGTAAGCTCATGGAACTTGAGTCTGCTCTTTTGTTGGATTTTCTGTTAAGCTAACTTACCTGATTTGTTAAAAGGCGTTATATTAGACAACAAGAAAATATAAAACAAAGTCCAAAGTTGTTACTAGCTACATTCATCTCCTTGCAAAAATCAGTGTCCTTATTTATAAGATAAGGGGGTTTAAAACCGTGTTTGAAACCAGCGTTATACCACAGAATCACCAATGACACTACAAATGCTAGAACCCCATCTCTGCCCAATCACATCTGAATACAGGGTCAGGGCGAGGGTGATGAGGAGTTAAGTACCGGGCACGTGTACATGCTAAGAATCTTCATTGGTTAATCGGATTTTCATTATAAACCACTATTAGATGATTCATAATGTTTCTATCTATATTATTTTATGACTCTAATAATTTTAAATCTAAACACCTTCTAAATCATTTTTAAAGTAGTACCTTAATTAATTTTTTTTTATATAAAGACAAAATAGTGATGATTTTTTCCCCTTCTGAATTAGATCCTTCTATGGAGCAAAGTGACCTAACTAGAATAAAGCAGTAGCGACAATAGGATAATTCCAGTTTACCAGCAGTTTCACTGCTGGCTACACCTGTCACTGACAAGGCACCTGGCCATGCCTGGACAATGTACTAGCCATTTTTAATTCATCTTTATCACCTCAGCCAAATGGTTTAGAATGGGAGAACCTTAGCTCATATATGCTTCTTAAAAATCCACCTGAAAGTCCATTTGTTCAGGCACTAAAAAAATCAAATACTTGCAATGTACTACTGACTGAGAAAAATAAGGGGACATATATGAAATCACAGCCGAAGCCATGTGCCCCGTCTTGGCAATGTCATCACTATGAGCTAAAAACACAATTCGCCTGATGTGGGGCACAGGTCTTTCCCATTGTAGAAATTACATGCCCCCCTGGAGTGAGCATAGTTAGCACACTGTATCTTCTCTCAGTAAAAGTCAATATACGATGAAGCTCTTTGCCCCACACTTACTTTGATTTCTTCATGTACAGCCAGTAGACCACACCAGCGACGAGGGCAGCAAGGAGGAGACCGACCACGATTCCCACAATCAGCTTTGCCTGGTCATTCACCTTTTCTCTGTTTTCATCTACAACAGAGAAGAAAAGCCCACACAATTACAGACAATGCCAACGATATTTGAAAAGGAGTCAATCTAGTTATTATTTCTTATTAAAAAGGGTGAAGGCTCACTAGTATCGGTAACATGCAAACTTGTGCATTTAAAGGATACAATTTTAGCATTCTTACTATCTTGTCTCACTCGCTATTTTAATTCAAGTCAAAATCGTGGCAGCTAAGAAAATTACTCAAAACAATGACACTTCATAAATATTGAGCTGATAGTCAAGGAAGAAGAGTCTGCAGCATAGTACCTACCACTTATCTCGTCTGTCTCATCGTGTTCTGGAATACTTACTGAAATGAAAAATGTTAATATGAAATTAAAAACAAAATTTGTTGATTAATGAAAGTCACCTTTACTATTATAATATGATGTAATAATACTCAAAGATAAAATATCTATTCTACAACTAAGGGTAGAAGAAATTTACATTTAATAGAGCGTGAACTTTCCTACAAAGACATTAATCTTGTTTTAAGGAAAGGAAAATAGTTAAAACTGCAAAGGTATTAATCTACTGTAGAAAATTTCATAACTGACAAGCTATAGTATTAATCTGAAATCCATAGTAATGTCCCATTATCTACCACCTTTTAATAGGAGTTTTTTTTTGTTGTTTATTTTTTTTAAGAGAAACAATTTGCCACATGTGAAATCTACAATGCAGTGTTTCTCAACTTTTCTCAATTTTTCTTGCCTCGGTAGGGGAGAATTAATTTTCCTCTTCCGCATCAGGGACCTACCACTAGAGACCTTCTCAAAGTGGTAGGGGTGGAGGTTACAACTGGGGATGTCTCTGAGGTTAAGAGGCAACTTATGTGATATTTGCAAAAGCCCTCCAAATAACTGATAGCGCATGCTCCTGGTTCATATTAAGAACCGCTGCTGTGGTGGGTTACCATCTAATATTAAACTACATAAATATTCTTCTGTGTGCATGGGTCTGCGTTAGAATTTCCAGAGATGTTTGTTAAAGTGCAGATTCCTAGAGCCTTCCTCATACATACTAAATTGGAATCGCAGGAGGTGCTCACTGAATTGGAAAACGACTGTATTAAATGTGGATCAAGCCACTGCAAAGTCTAGGAAACCGCTATTCAATGGGTTAGAATAAAAAGAGAGACTTGTGTTCAGGAAGAGGGGATAAGTTCTCTTTCTAGGTAGGACAAATCAATACTCGCTGAATTAGATTCTGAGAAGTCAATGCTCCAATTTTAGAGTTAAATTTGTTTGGTTCTTTTCTTGTCAATTCAGCAGGCTTTTATATTCTAGTCATAAACTGCTAAGAACCGTTATCTTTCGACAATTATTTTCTCCTGGCTCCAGCTAATTCCTATCCAGTATATTCCTGTCCTGCTAAGGTCACACACACGATTCCAACTGACTGAAGAATACAAGTTTGGACGGTCAGTTAAGCCTTCTGTCCAGAGCCAAGCCTCATTCTATGCCAGTCCTGACTCAAGGTTGACATCGTAATAGAAACAATGACAGAATTGAAGATGATGGATAATTTCAAATAAATAACAATTGTTTTTAGAAGAAGCTGCTTTGGGTATATATATATATATATATGTATTACCCTGACTTCAGCACTGACAGATTTTTTTTTCCACTTTTTTTGAGATAATCTCATATATCCGATTTTTAGCTGTGATTCAAATATGATATTCAAAAGCATTATTATTTTAAACTAGGTTTCATGAATTCTACTATCAATTTTACTATCAATTTGCTGAATGACTTTCAGCATTCAGCATTCCTGTTAAAAATAAGGGTAGGAAAAATACCACAAAAAACTGGAATGCAAAATCATAGGTTAAAGGGAGTTAAAATTTTACCAAGGTTAGAACTGTTACAGAAATGTTTTAAGATAATCTTTGAATTATCTGTATTTTGAACACAAAGCATAGATTAAACAGTAGCAACTCAGTTCACATCCTCTGTCGTTCTTGGGAATATTCCTGTACAAGATAAGGTTTCTGACACATAAAATGATTTAGCTGTCAAGACAAGGATTGTACAAGAATGAACACCAGAAAAAAAGAACAACAACAAAAAAAGAACCTTATAATGATGATGATACCAAATGCAAAATAAATAAATAAAACTTACCATAATGCAGTATAGGAAGATGGAATTGAAGATTTTAAACTAATGAAGAATAACTTCAAATGTTCTTACTTTTTTAATGCCAGAAATGAAATACTCACTAGCAGAGACATTCAAGGAGTTTACTGTTCTCTCCAGCTGGTTTTCTGCTGTGCAAGTTAATGTAACATTCTCTTCAGGGGAAATGATAATTTTACTATAATACCTGCCATTGATATAAGGAGATTCCTCTGTCTGGAAAAGAAATAAGGAAGGTGCATTTAGAAATGGAACAAGATTAAAAACATGGGAGTGAGTAATACTGAGTGAAATAGAATGGGTGTGGTGCTTTGCCTGCTATCTGGAGTTCAAGGGTATATGCAAGGTCATAGCCATAGACCACTTCAGGTTTACATCTACAGCAGGGAGGAAAAAGAGTAGTGAACCCACAACTGGATTTCTGGTTTTGCTTCTATTGTAAATTTGAATATTGCAGATTCTAAATTAATTAAAATCATCTTTTTCAATAGGTGCTCAGGTTAGTTAATATTCTGGCATGATAGGACTTGCCTCAAAAAACTAATGATTAGTCACCAACTTTCCACTAATAAACTTATGAATTTAATTCTTATTTGTAAATTATGACCTTGTTCTCCACTACAGGGGTTAAGTCCTTTATTTTAAACCATTGCATCTATGGCCATATTTCTGTATGATTTGCTCATGGGAAGTCAAACTGTTTTTTCTCAATGTTCAGGAGCTAACTCTAGAGGGTGGATTCTTTCTTAGTGACTGGCAAATTCCTTTGGTTGTGCTGAGGTGTTAATGAGGACAACTGCTGCATTGAATTCCTCCAAACATAAGAGACAATTCCCTTGAATCTCTTCCCCAGGGTTTGACTCCTAAATCCAACACCACTAAAGCAAATATGAACTTGTGCTCTTTTTCTCATTCACAATACACACACGATGTATGGGTCTCTAATTCCTTTCTCCTCATCTACAATGTAAGGACCTTGAGAACAAGAGCTAGTTTCATGCTTAGGGATATCATCTAGCCCCTGGATTAGGGGTGGGGCAGAGGTTTCAGGAGCTGTAAAATAATAGATTCACCATGTGATTGTGGAAGGAACTAATAAAAGATTATGGATGGATCGGCACACATCTAGAACAGGAAAAATAACGTATTGCCTAGTGGGCCAGAATCAATTCTTCTCCTTGACAGTGAAGAATAGCATTATTATTTTTATCCTCATAGTAAGATCACCTGCTATTTTACCACTTCCCACTAGTATTTTTCATATGACTTTCTCACTGATCCTTTGTTTTTGTTATTTTTATCTCTACAAAATATATGTACTCATTTCTAGGATGGCCTTTTAAATCTTTGTACCTTTTCACTCATCAAATATTCCCTGTGTGCTTATTTTTCTGTAGTTTCTATGCTCGCATTACTAGTACTATAGGTAAAAAGAACCTTTAATTATCTGAATTGAACTAGGCAGCAAAACGAATAAAGCAGAAAAGAAACGATAATTTTTTAAGCTAAAAAAAAAATCTATATATTGTCAGCAATTCAGGTGTTGAAGCCGTAATTCTGAAACAAGACAAAAGCATTTCCTTCCAGGTGAGGGGCCCAGAGTCTCTTTGCCCTCTACGTGCATGCTCTCCTGTGTGTCCCCATCACGTCTAACCAAATCAGAAGTCATTTCCTTCAAGTGTGTCCACCCCTTTATGCAAATACGTATGCATCACCCATAGAACAGCCCAAATTCACCTTGCTCTGCAAAACCACACGACCTAACCTGGACCAGTAGCCCCACTTTCTTGTACACTGAAAGAATAGAAGGTTTAACTTAAAACTCAATTGCTGCTCTGCTTTATGCATGCCTTCTCAAATTTCAACTGATTTCAGGTCCAAAGCTGGGAAGAAGGCAGCACAGAAGATGCAGATAATCAAATGGAACCTCTGGGTGTTGAAGAGTTTAACTGGCTCCGCTGAGAAGAGGGACATAAAGACTGTTGTAGAGAAAATGGAATTAACAAGTATGTCAGTAACCCAAGCCGACTGGCAATTTAATGGGATTACAGCTTTGAGCCCCTAGTGACAGGGCAGATTCTCATCTTTTCTTTCTTTTTCTTTTCTTTTTCTTTTTCTTTTTGTAAAAGAAAAGAGAGTGTTCCTAAGTTCTTAGCACTTGACTATTACTAAACTATCCTGACAAAGGCACAAATATTAAAGCTTGGCTTATGTCTACCTTTGTTCAGAAGGAAACATCCTAGACACTGCATATTTACCTAGCCTCATTCTGGTCCTAGCCCCGGCATACACAACTCAGACCACATGCTCAGAAACCGCAAATGTGCTCTTCACCACACTCTGGGGCCCAGTTTTAAAAAGAAATATCCTTCAATGTGCATAAGTAAGCAAAGCAATGGAGGCCACTTATACTCAGATGTGTAAGTTTATGATGCAGAAAAGTGCATACCTTAATGTTTTAATCACCCAAGTTTCAGGAATTAACGACCATGGAAGAACACCAAAATTACATTCTTTTAAAAACAGATACTGACCACAACATAATGATGCTTCCATTCTCCATGGCCCTGAGTTTTAAAATTTCTCTTTGAGCCATGTCCTGCCTTTGGGAAAATTAAGAATTTTGCAAGAGCTTCCTCTGAGGACATACTGCACATTTCACGCTGGTAATAAGCTAGCCCATAGTTTAGACACCTAAATAAAACCCCCACATGGGACCAAGTGCAGCATATAACAAGAAGACCGATACTTGCTTGATTTATGACACTTCCACTCCCAGTAATTGTCCACTGTATAGCTGGCTTCGGAAATCCTTCCACATGGCAGATTATGGTTTTAGATAATCCACTGGGATCAGTTTTCTTTGTCATTTTGATTTGAGGTTTTCCTAAAGTATCATTGGAATTAAAATAAGATGTTGAACTGAGGTAATAAAAGTAACCACATATCAAATTCTGAAAGAAAAGTTTGAATCCGTGCTCACGTATTTTATTACCTTCTACAATGAGCGTCAATGACTCTCTTTTCTTTAGTCCTTCTACTTCTTGCAGAGAAGTTTCGCAAACATAGTTGCCAGCATCCTGATAGTGGAGACTAGAAAATGATGGGCTAGCTTTAAGCCTGGTGTTATCCTGATTAAATAAAAAGTTAATTACTTCATATGGCACAGTAATAACTCTCAATATATTTATTAGATAATCATTAAGCCGAAAAATTATTCTTCCAGTCTAATGAAAATGCAAGCTGCTGCTTCTTAGCTAGATGCTTTCAAAACTAGATTTCTTTTTTTCTTTGTAGTTTTAGAGTTAAATATCTCAGGGTTTTATTTCAGACTCATCTGTTTACTGCATTTATAATTTGGATCAAGTTCCTAAGCTTCTGAGACTCAGTTCCCTATTGTAAAGTGAGGTAATAATCCTACCATATTGAATTGTTTTCAGGACTTAATTCTACGAATAATACAATGTGTTTACACTAAGGAAAGTTCTGAATTCATAGTAACTACTATCTCCTTGTAGTAAATGTAGATGAACTAGGATTGACAGATATTGAAGACTTGTGCTATGTAATCAATTCCATCCTATAAAATGAAAGTCATTTCATAGGATACAGTTACCAAGACAGGGAATCCTTATAGAGCCGTGGCTCTTATGACAGAATGATTTTTAAGGAAACCTTAATAACAGCTTACTATCCTACCTTCTATGAACAAAGGAAATACAAAATTTAATTAAAAAAAAAACACTATCAGAAAATGATATTTTATCAGGAATTGAAATACTCCTAAGTAGACAACTAAACATAATCCTAAGATTATGTGGGTTTTTTTTGTCCACTATGAATTGTTTTCTACTCCCAATAACTAACCAATGGCCAGAAAATATTGATCAGAATCACTGACATTAGGTATTTAATTAACCACAGTGACTGCAGTTGATGTAGAAACTGGTTTAGCCAAGTAAATTAGTTTCTCCAGTCCTGTAGAAAAACATTATGAGTGTTCACAATATTACTGATTACTCTAGAACTCGTCTAGCCCTTTCACCAACTACTATAAATATATGATGTTAAATATGCAGTCTATGGAATAATACTTAATTAACTGAGTAAACAAGAAGATGTGAGGAGGCAGTGGTTAAAGCAAAGTGACAGAAGAAACTAAGTTTTTAGAGTAAGACAACAAGTCACAGGATCTACCATTAAAAGAGCAATACAAAAAAAGTATATTTTCATCAAGAAGAAACTGTAGCAATGCATTTCTTCACAATGTTTTATAGAGATAATACTTGTCAATCCCTATTTCAAATGGTGTGTATGTGTTTTGCCAATACATTACTGGTTAAGTGCTCCTGTTATATGTCACGTTCCAGTAAAAAATACACTGAGGGTTTAGAAATACTAGTCAAGGATGTGAGTGGAGAGATCAGAGTGATAGGCATTTCTTCTGGCGGCAATCTTGTCTCAAATCATACATCACCAATCCTATTTTCTCATTCTAAAAAAAGCAGCAATGATTGGGTTCCACAGGTAATCGTCCACATTTCAGACAATTACAAGAATATATAAGCATTCATTCAGGAAGTCCTGACTAAGCTCCTAGTATGTTCCAAGTGTTTGACTACAGCTCAGAGGTGAAAATGTACCTCCAAAGAGCTACTAATTCAGTGGAACCCACATTCAGACTCGTAAGATAAGTTTCGGCAGAGATGCAGAAAGTTATGTGACCAGAGCGCAGTATTTATTCTCAGTAAGGCCTGAGCTCGAGTTTCTACCCTGTCACCTCCGAGCTTTCTGATTTCTCTTATGTCAACCTCTTTATGAATAACTTGGGGAAATAATAAATGGCCTGTGCATTTCACAGGGTTGTTGTAACTGCCATGTGAGAATAATGTGGGTTAAAACACATCGTCAATTGCTAAGCCCCAAAGTCTTGTATTGCATGGGTGTATGTGTATAATTACTTAGTATCTACACATAATTAAATTAATACCCCCCCAAACTAAGTTTCAGAGCATCAATTATAGATGCCATGCTATTGTTGAGTACCTCTAAAATTCTATTATGACATGATTTGCATTATTACGTATATAGAGAAAGAAAGTATGAGCATGGGTGTATAAACACATTACTCATGAATAAGCATATTTGGATATAACATAAAATGCAGAAGAAGCCTAAGAGGGAATCAAGTCAAACAGCAAAACATCACCAAGGAATCTTACTTACTTTCATCCACACCACAGTTGCGTTCCTACTAGCAGATATTGTGCACGACACAGGCAGGGCATCGCCAATCTGCTTGGTCACTTCCCCACTTGGATTTAAGGACAAATCCAAATCTGTGAAGCAGAAAATCTGCTTGAAATGCAAACTCCGGTAAAGTCAGATAGTCAAAGTATTTTGGAGAAGAAACAATAAAATAAAAAAAATCCCTCTAACTGCATGGAAATTTCAGAATTGATTTATGTGACTGAAATAACTGAACCATAGCATAATCAGTCATTTTTTCAAGTCAGCTTTGACACCAGTGTAGACAAGTGAATGGTCAATCTAATTGATTATGCATTTATTTGCCGTTAACATGATTGATGTTTTCACTGCACATAAGTATTCCCCTGGGGTCTACCACCTTAAGAAAAAAATTCTGAAATCACTTCTGGAATAAAATAAAGATGATGACTAGGTAAATATTATGAAAAGAATGAGTAAAGCATACCATGGGAAAAATCAAGTATATTTAGCTAGCAGATGATATACTGAAAAGTCATGAGGTAGTCTATGTAGTTCCTTCAGAGAGAATTGACTATAGTAGCTAAATACTTTTTAAAAATTATTTTCAATTTTTCATACAGTTGAAATTTTAAATAAGATCTATTGTTGGGTACACTGTTAGCAGATACCATCTTTTAAAAATAGAGTATATACACACCTAAGGATGTATAATCTTTCAGGTGGAAAGTAATTTCTATAAAAAATCTTACTGTCATAGTATAATCTGTATGAGGAAAATTTAATTCAATAGAACAGACATTTATTGTACAGCTACTATGTTCCAAGCACTGATGGGAGATACAGAGATGAATAATGAGCTTACAATTTACAACTTTTGAGGCAGAGGTAAAATGCACTCAATTATGCGACTAGAATACACAGCAGCATGAAATCAGCACTTTGTAGCAAATGTTTAGGAGCTCAATAAATATTTGCTGAAAACTAAAGCAAGAGCTACAAACAGAGGCAAAGACTTATGGGAGTTTAGAGACCAGAGCCAAACAGGGTTTTAGTGCAATAATAAAGGTTTTGTATAGGAGGCAGTATCTGTGTGTGGACCCTGATGGCTAAGAAGGGCTGTGTAAGTGGAGATACAGGAAAAACTTCTACCACATAATCAAAGGCAAAGAGGTGAGGGAGCTTGACAGAATTCACAAAAGTGATTAGTCTGGTACGAATGGTTATAGCACATAGAAGATTCATTAACTGAGGCCAGATTGTAAGGGACTGTGCTTGCCATACTAAGAGTTGGGGCTTTATTCTGTAGCAGTGGAAATTTGCTACGACAACCTGTGCTTCTCCTTGGTTTTACATGTTATAAATGCAACTTGCTGATTGTTTGTACATCATTTTTAATACTTGTTTCTCGTGCTAGGTTATCAGCACCATGAGGGTAGGGACGACGACTTGAGATGTCACTGTGTATTCAGTGTCTGCCACGTGGTAAGCTCTCAAAAGCTATTGTTGAGTGAATGAAGGGAAGAAGCATGTTTTCTCAGCTTCTCATTAATATAAAAGGATGCATTACCGCAGAGAAGAATGGAGTCTCCTCAGAATATATGGATGGATTACATTTAAATGAAAGTTCTACTCAGGGAGAGTTAGAAGTTTTCCTTTGCCGGATAGTTAACTTGCCAGTGGTAGGAGATTTTAAAGGATGATGATGATGCACTTTGGAAGTTCTGATGAAGAATTGCTATGTGCATGAATTGGCAGAGGAATAGAAGACGTTTCATCAGCAACTGAGAGTCTGTGGATGAAAGCCCTGAGGAGAGGGATGCTCTGCAAACATGAGCAAGTATGGGTGGTGCTTCTCTGTCCACACTCCCTTTCGTCATCAATGGAAAAAAACAAACCACATTTTGGTTTTGGAAAACAAACAAGCAATCAAAGATAAATGGGCAAAAATAGAATTCTCATGTTTTCATTTCATGTAATTTAGAGTAAAATCTTGATTTATTTGCCATACCTTTTCAGCTTTTAAAGAGCAATATAGGACTTACAACCTAATGTTAACAGCCTACCTGTCAAAACCAAAAGGCATTTAAATCCAGTTAAATTCACTGAACTCCAATTAAATTGTTACATGCGTTTTTAAACTTTTTTCCTTATCACGGTTGATCATGGAGGTACTGTGCAACTGCAGCGAAGTCTTGTGCTTTATCAGTCTGTTATCTATCCCTCCCTTCCTGATGTACACACAATATAAATAAGAGCTGTCCCCTTTTAGGGTCCTGAGTAGCTAACATCTCTTAAACATAAACATATCATACCACCTCTCAACACCGGATTATTAGTGATTGGCCCAAAGATCTCATGAACAATATCAGAGGGTTATTCCATAGGCAATTCTATATGATGGGTATAGTTGCTCACTTCGTTAATCCCCCCGCCCACCCATGGGACAAACTGGATAAATTGTCCCATATTGACTAGTCCTCAGAGAAAAAGTAGCCCTGTTGGTATCCTGAGAGGTCACTGCTTTTTGTCTCAACAATCCCTAGTGACAGACATACTTATATCTGTAAAACATGAACATGGAGCAAACAGAGAGATGGCATAGCCATAACTATTTCTTAATAATTCAGTCTTTATAGGTCGCCCAGAGTGTGCTTCCAACATTAGACACTCAAAAGCAACCATCTGGTTACTCTACTGCCAAATGTACCTCCTTGTATCTCCTTCTCTACAGGTTTCCCAAGCATTATGGGAGAGTGAAAGACTCAGAATCATTTCCTCAGAATAATTTCTACAGTCTGTTTCAATTTTAAAACAAAGAAACCCCTCATATTCAATGGGACTATAGCAGATCACATGTACAGGGAACCTTATTGATGGTCTGTTGGGTGCAAAAGATGTTTTAGAACGTTTGGCCTCTGCCTCCAAGCAAGGCTAACATTTGCCCGAAGCTGTGACTTCTAGTGTCATCAGCGAGCAGTTCAAATTAGTTCCCAATTTCCATGATGCTTCAGGAACATCAATAATATAGACTGTCAGAAATTGCAAAATAAAGAATAAAATAAGTAAAGTTTTCTATGTGTATCCAATAACTGCAACTTTTGGTAGTGGTAAACCATCTTCTTTCTGAATATCTTCAATTTGTGGCAGCCACAAAAATATACACATGGATCTGAAACAAATACCTCTTTGTATCTTTTAAGAAAATATTTAGATACTCCTGAAGTTCACAAGATTTGCATTTGGCCCGCAAAAGTATACTATAGACCCAACTTTGGAAAAAGAGGTAGAGAACACTAAAAGCCATTTATTGGCTTCTATCTCCTTTCCCAAAGTTGATTCCACAGTAACTCTGTGTTGCTTGGCTTTGGGTGTTAATATTATTGTGTAACTAAAAAGATACTTAATCTATACTTTTATGGGCCAAATGCAAACCTTGTGAACTTCAAGAATATCTAAATATTTTCTTAAAAGATAAAATGAGTTCTTTCTTTCAGAGCCTGCATATATTTTTGTAGTTGCCACAAATTAAAGATATCCAGAAAGAAGACAGTTACCACTGCCAAAAGTTGCAGTTATTGGATTCATGCAAGATTTAAATATTGCAGTGCAAATCTGGACCAAAGTTGAGCTTATTTTTTATGTACTTCACTAAGTCAATGGAAACCACATTATTTAACAAAAACACAGCTGCAATTTATTGGAAAAGATAGCCACATTAGACTATTAAAGGTCTTCGAAGTGAAGTCGGTAATGAAACATAAGTTTACTTACAGTGAACTGTGATGGCTGTTGAAGCAATCATGCTTTTTTGGTCTGTCAGGGAGCATTTATAGTCTCCTGTTGCATTGCGCCTCACATCTGTCAGTGTGTAAGTATTTGAGCTTCTTATTCCTTCAAGCTGTCCCTTTCGATAGAGACAAAATGTCAGATGATTACACTTGGTAGCTACAATAAGAACAGTTGTATTCCTTGATGAAAAGGGCAGTTTCTCAAATAAGAACAAAAAAGGGAATGTGTTTCTTTGATTGGAAAAATGAGAGTACAGTTTGTCTTATTTGATTCCTAGAAAAATAATTGATATTGATGAGTTAATTTGCATTATACTGATGACATCCATTTTATTGACAGCATGGATTATGTTTTATTTATTTATTTATTTATTTATTTATTTATTTATTTTAATTTTTTTTAGCTGAGCCATCCTGCTACCTGTTGGCAGCTCAGTGGCATCTCAGCTCGGGCCAGGACTCGAACTGCTGTTGCTCAGAGCTCGCACTCTTGAGCGAGCTCTTAACCAAATGAGGTACTTGGCCGGACCTATGTTTTATTTTTTAATTTCCAATATTTTATTTTTATATTTATGCCTCCCCTAATTTGACAGGAAGATTCAAGGCGACTTAAAAGAAAACATGCCATATATCCAAATAAAAAGTAGAGGAAGAAAGGACGGAAGGAAGGAAGGAAGGAAGGAAGAAAGGAAGAGAAAGCAAGAGGGGCAAAGAAATAAAGAAAAAGGGGAAAGAAAACTACGAACTAAAAATATAAAAATATAGATGAACTAGGACTATATGTTAACAAAAAAAGATAATCACTAGATATTGTTGCTAAAACTGAGACACACATTTGACTCTTCATTCTTGATAGCCAAGGTGGAAACATAACTAGTTTCAAAATTTCGCTTCCACATGAGACAAAACCAATGTGTCAATTTATTAGGAGAAACCAAGTTGTCTGTCAACATTCAAATCCAAAAGAGATTACTTATATAAGTTTTCTGAGTAATATAGCGGGTGATATTCTTAAACACCGCTGAGGAATACAGTGGATGACATTTATAAACATATCTCTGCCGTAAATGCATATAGAGTCATACATGGCTTCTTTCAATGGGAGGTCACGTCAAACAGAAACAGAGAAGAGCTGTGGGGGGTTCAGGCAAGTGTCCTCAGATGAGCTCTCTCCTGGTCTGGCTCCACATCACTATGGCATCTAGAACATACCCTAGAGCAACGGTTCTCAACCTGTGGGTCACGACCCCTTTGGGGGTCGAACGACCCTTTCATAGGGGTCGCCTAAGACCATCAGAAAACAAAAAGATATTTACATTACGATTCATAACAGCAGCAAAATTACAGTTATAGAGTAGCAACGAAAATAATTTTATGGTTGGGGTCACCACAACATGAGGAACTGTATTAAGGGGTCATGGCATTAGGAAGGTTGAGAACAGCTGCCCTAGAGGAATTTTCCAAATTATGCTCTCTCCATATATCATTTCTTTCAGCTCTGATGCTGATAAAAGATGAGGAACTGGTGCTTCATGACTACACAATGGCAAGGAAGAGCCCAGAGGTCTAGTCTATCAAGCTAAATACAACAGGCCCCAGAACTGTCCCTACATCAGAGGTTTTCAGATGTGTTCAGAGAGGTACGGTAGGTCCACATCAGTCCACTTGTTGCTATCACTCTTCTTTATAGTAATCTGCTTCTGAAGAGCAGATTCTTACAATTTATTTGGATAATGAAACCCTGAGTTTTGTAATTATGGTTTCCTGAGATCAGCTGTTTTCCTCTTTGTCCTTGAAATCTCTTAACATTGAGAAAAAAGGGCAAGAGCATTGGCAGATGCTGAAAAAGATTTCAAAGGACATTCTACAGGTATCCATTGTCCCGAAGAATAACATTCCATGCCACTTAAGCTGCCCAAGTACATACAATCCTTAATGTCAGGCAGCTGCCAAACAGCAGGACACAATGATAGTCATCTAGCTCAAGTAGGAATCCTTAAGCACTTACTGGTAAGTAAAACAAAAACTCCTCAGGGGGAGGGTTACCATTTCCCAAGCATTTAAGAGTCATGTTGTCCCCTTCTTTGATGGCATTTTTTGGTGGCAGCACTTGTATTGTCACCTGCTCTGTAGGATCTGCAAGAGTCATAGATACAAGTTAACCATTTTCGTTAAGTACCCAATTACTCTGTACATACAATGTAAACGACTAAATTATAGACAATTTGCTCAAGAAGCTAGCAATAGTAATTAGTTAACTGTATCTTTTTTATAGAAGGCTTAAAGTTAATAGCTACTTGCTATACCAAATACTAATCTTGGTTAGAACAAACTACAAAGAGACCCTCTTACATAAAAATCAATTGCTTCTTAGGCAAATATCTTTAACTGAGGTAGGAATGACCGTAATTATTTTATAGGTAAAAGACTAGTAGGAACAATCTCACTATGTGATTTCATTATACGGACATTTAACTATATTACGCGAATCTTAAAATTTGGAAAGACTGGATCAGCTAGCAAAGTAGCTAAAGCTATTAGGCACCCCTGCACTCATATTACATAATATCTTATATTAAAAAAAAAAAAAAGAGACATGAGCTAAATAACACCAGCAAGATTTTGGCATGCAGGAGTGTGGATCTGCTTTCAAAAAGATGAATCCCGTGAACTGAGCGAGACCCTAACACAATCAACAGGACTCTTCAGTGTATTGTAATTTTGTTCCGTTCATTGGAGCCAAGCTGTAACATTCATTCCATTTTGGTCATTTTTATGAAGAAAATAGGGCCAAAGGGTATTTTTTAGTAGAGGCTATTGCTCAACAGTAGAATGCTAAAGAAATTAAAGGCTGGATACAGTGGACCATATCTAGCAAATGGGAAACAAAAGGAGGTGGTGTTGGCAGTTATAAATCACCCACTTTCTAATTTATCCACTTGTGATATAGCTGGATAAACACAACAAACAATGAATTTGAAATCATAGAACGCAACGGTTTATTTTAGAGAAGATTTCACAAGGCTTAGTAACTATTGAGGCATGTGTCTATATTTCCAAACTGGTAGCACTAAAAATTATCTATGAAGACTTATTTTGCTATCAGCTAATAAAGCAAGACGAATAAGTACTCAATTTGGAGGATTTTTTTTTTTTTGGTCTCTTGCAATCTCTTATTCACATTTCTAAGATTAAAGTGCAGAAAAAAATCTTAGAAAGATTGCTATAGATTGCTTCTTGGCCTTTTCTTCATGCTTGGGCATCTCTGAATATCTATGTGTCCAGAATGTTCTGCGAGGATAAACAGTGAGAGTGCTTTAATACACTTCTTAGTTTTTCTAAATTTGCCTGAGGTAGTTCCCTGACCAGCAGTTTTCAGTAAAGTTGGAAAGTAAATAAAGTTTGGTTTTGGTCCCCCACTGATGTTCTATTTCTTGGCCTCCCTCCCTCTCTTACATGGCCCTCCTCTGACTAGTTTCGGCCTGCCACACATCACGGCGGCACATCTCTCCAGGAAAAGCTGACATCGGAACAGCTAGAGGTCACGTCTGACTTCCTGCTCTATTTCAAAACTCCCCTTCTCTGTGTCCTTTCTTCAATAGTCTCTACTCTGCACTGAAAGGTTGAAGAACTAAACTGAGACCAGAATGTTAATGTCACACATCTGATTTTTCACAACAGCTTTCTCAATGCCTGAAACAAAACTAATGACCTTTTGCTCACCCCTTGACCCTGACTTTGAATTTCACTTTTTTAGTAAATCATCATTCTGCCAGTTACTTTGGCTTTCTCCTTTGTCCTCTCTTACCCACTTGATCACCCAGCCTTAATGATTAATACTTAATATACTTGGCATCTGATTCTCTCCTTCTATTCCCAATAACACTTCCCTAGTCCAGGCTCTCAGTAACCTGTAGTGGAAACACTGCCATCAAATTTCATTCAGTCTTTCACCTTGAGCCTTTGTCTTTTCTACATATTCATATATATTTCCTCTAAATCAGTTTTTAAGTAATGCTTTGAATAGTATAATTATATTAAAAAAACTTCACACATTCCTAATATAGAAAGATTGAAATAAGTTTTCCTTTTTTTTAAGATTTTATTGGGGAATTGGGGAAGGGGAACAGACAAGTTGCTGTCCTTTTGTTCTTCAATCTAGCTGTGGAGGACATGGCTTCACTGGCCCATGTTGGTATTGTGACCATTGCACTCTTCCTGGCTGAGGTAGTCAGTCGCCGGAAGGCTGCTCACGGCAGCCCACTGCAGCCCCACTGCAGTCCCACTGCAGCCTATGCCATTGCTGGCCACTTATAGAAGCTCAGCTCCAGGTCGAGCTGTTCTTCACCATCTTAGCTGTAGAGGGCACAGCGTCACTAGCCCATGTGGGAACCGAACCAGCAGCCCTGCTGCTCAGAACTCGCATTCCTAAGCCAACTCTTAACCAACTGAGCCACTCGGCTGGCCCTGAAATAAATATTTCTTAACCTGGTATCTACAATTGGCTTGAATCTAGGTCAGGTGAGAATTTTCCACCTCACTACTCTCTCTAGTCCCCTACATAGTAAACAAAAGAGTCTACTCAAATTTCCTTCCTCGCATCTTTCCATTTATCCTTCTGCCCATTTATTCATTTGTTAGCTAATATTAATTTTTTGCAGGGACTAAGTGCTGGAGTTATAAAGCTGAAAACAGCATAGTCCCTGCCTTCAATGAACTTTCAGTCTATTTATGATGACAGCAAACTTAACATTTAAGACCATAACAATGTAAAAACTGCATATGATGTAAGCATAATGACCACTGGTAACTTATAGATGCATGAGATTGGGAAGCTTCCAGCCCCTGGAGCTGTGTCCTGAAAGCTAAGTAGGTGTTTGCTAAATGACAACGGTGAGGTAGTAACAGCATATGGTTCAGCATGTAAGTGGTATGTGACAGGTGGAATCTGGAATACAGAAGAGACTATGGAAGGAACAGTGATGTGATGAAGGTTGAAACATAGCGCAGGGCCACATCTACAGGGAACTCAAGGCATATTGAAACCAGTTGGGAGTGTGAAGATTAATCTCAGAGATTTGAGGTTTGAAAAATTTTAATCACAGCAGTGACTTGGTCACACTTGCGTTTAAGAAAGACATTTCTGGTAGCATCTTGGAGGATAGTTTGGGATGAATAGACAGAAGAAATACTATTTAGAAAACTGTCACAGAAATATAGGCAATGGAGAATGGGGCATAATCTTAGGCAGTGGCAGAAGGCAGAAGTTAGATAAACGAAGAACAAAGAGCTAGGTTCTATAAAATTTCATTACGAACTGAATAGGGTAAGACAGGAGTGGACTAACACATCTTTCACGAGTTATCTCAAGGTGGACTTGCCAAATTTCTTTTTTTGAATGTACTCTGTGTCCTTCCCATTTAGTTCCCTCCTTCTCTTCTCTGGAGTCATCCTAGAGCAGTGGTTCTCCAAAAGTGGTCCTCTGATCAGCAACATTAGCATCACCAGGGAATTTGTTATACACGCAAAGTGTTGGGGCCCTCTCCACACCTCCTGTATGGGAAACTGGAGTAGGGTCCAGCCATCCGTGTTCTAGCAAGTCCTTTGGGTGATTCTGAAGTGCACTGAAGTCTGACAATCACTGTCCTTGGGCACCTGAGCTTTTAGGACCGTTCACCAAGTTCCTGTGGCACTTACCATGGGCAACCTTGCACTGACAATTTCCTTCTGATGGAGGCGTCTTATTTCCTTGTTGGAGTAGCAGATTCTTTACATGTCAGGACTATGTTTTAAACACTTTTGGGGCTTCACCATGAAGCCCAGCACAGCATATATTGTACGTTTTCAGAAGCCGTGCCAAATGTACCCCACACAGCCAATCAGAGTAAAACCAGTTCCTTCAATAAGAACAGGGACTTTTCTGCCCATGTCTGACACCCATATACATTCCTTTTCTTTCCTAAGCCAATCTCCCATTCTTCATTACTATCTTGATGTTCTTTCTTATCGCGTACTCTTGTACTTAAAGCAAGATAGTTTATTTCCAATTGAACATTTTTGAACAGACAAAATTCTTCCTTCACTTACAGAAATAATAGTTTGATTTTAGGAGAGCTGTGCATGATGAAATCCTCTCAACCTTCTTTTTTAAATCAAGTTGAAACGTATTTACAAAGTTAAACGTAAAGTGATCCTTTATTATTAGGGCAAGTGCAATTTCAGTTTTGTTACTATATAAGGTTCCACACTTTATGGAACCAGAATAGAAATGTGGATGAGATAAAACTCTCTGAAGGCGCAACTGGAATTTATGTCCTTTCTGCAGAATAGAGTAAAAGTACTAGGTGATTCTACAACATTTGGCAGTATTACAAGAATGTTTTATTCATTATTTTGAAATAATAAAATTCTTCTTGTTTTTTTTCCCCCAAAAGGTATTTATACCCTGTGCTTATGTAGTGATAATGATCATTTAGTAATAATGACAATAGTACTTAATAATGAGCATTTAATGTGCTTTCTAGTGTGCTATTTTAGATTTCACTTAATCTCCATAATGACATTATGAGTTAAGTATTGTATTTTTCTTGTTTTCAGAATAGAAAACTGAGACCTAGAATATTTAAGCTACTCTGCTAGAAACACACAATAATTGATAGTGCTGAGGCTGGGTTGCCAGCATGTTGGTTCCTCATCATGATATTATCTTGGCACCTGTCTTACTGGGAAGAGCACAGCATTAGAGAAAAGGGTTCTGATCCAGCCTCTTTGGCTAATTTAGGGGAAGTTTCAGGGCCACACTTTACTGGTAGGTAAAATAATGGAGCAAGAAGGTTCCTTTATCGTCTACTATTCTATGTTTCAACTCTATGAAATAAAGTTAACCAAAACATCTTGGAATACAACATCCCGTTTAACTTACGCAATTGATCTCATTAATAAAATAAATCTCTTCATTAAAATGGCAATCCCTTATCTAGAAGACATAAGCCTCTATTCATCTGTCATTCATTGAGGAAACTAGCGGTTAGCACTATGATCTCCTATAGAATTCATTGCTGTGTGCCAGGGCTGACGACTGACTAACAGAAGAGATAAGATCGTTAGAGAGCTTGTCTTTAAGGGACTTCGCATCTAGCACAATACAGAAAAAATGCTCATAAATAACAAAGTAGAGAGTGAAAGATACCACAACACATGTAAACCTTTATCGTTTAGGTCTTCCTTTGAGGAAGAGATTATTTGGGTGCTATGCAGCAGGGTCGGGGGTTGGAAGTAGAATCCAAAGAGAATTTGGATTGGGACTTAAAAGATTAATAAGCATTTGAATATTCTTTCTCATGTATTATAATTGCACAATTGTAGGTTGAGATACTTACAATAAATATCAAAGACTGTTTGCTCAGAATGAACTGTTTTCTGGCCAGATGGTCCATAATATGTTACAGAGCAGGCGAACGGCATTTGTATGTCAGCCTTGGTTGTCTTGTACTCCAGGGATGAAGTCATGGTGTAGAGCTGAGTTACTGGGTCCATTTGCTTTGTAAAAGTTATGACCACCACTGGAGAAAATAAAGAACACTAGTGATAGGATTTTTCATTGGAAAAATCACAATTCTTAATTATATGTCACAATGCCTTTGAGAAGTGGTTTTGTCCTTCTCCCTGTATTTAACAGGAGGGGAAATCGACATGTAGTGAGGTAGGATGTCTTTTCAAAACCATGAATCAGAGACACAGACAGAAATAGAACCCTGGAATCTTATTTCCTGCTCACTTTAATTAACTTCTAGAATACGCCGTATACAGAAATAATTTTCTCTGCTCTTGATTATTCTGTACAAGGACTGGAATGACGTTTTTAAAAACCACTTAATGATTTAATGGATACTTCAAGTAGCAAAGCATAGAGTCATAGATCAAAAGAGAGCAACACATTTTGATGCAGTATAGTCTGAGGAATCCCTAGACAAGAGAAAGTCAAAATAGGTCATTTGAATTTATTGCCCATCCGTACCCACCTCCTTCAAGAGGTTGTAACACCTTTCCAGCCCGGTACCACGTGATGTTGCCATCTGGATAACTGTCTTTTGAAATGCAATCACCCAACTGCAAAATAAAGAGGAAACGTTACTACCTTTGTGTCATCAGTGGCTGTCAATTTGGAAGCCCAGAATGCTCAGGAGATTGTAGATTACCTCAAAGGTTTCCTGACCCATTCATTTCTAAGCACTAAGGGCTGAAAAAATAATGCTCCCGTGTATAAAAACAATGTCTTACACTTGAAATTATGATCTTGCCCATTGTAAAACATGCACTGGATGCTGCAACTATTACTAAATCCTCATTCATGTAAAAGCATTACCAGATTCATTTTGACTTTATTCACTTTTTAACATTAACTAAATAACATAATTACATTAACATTGGCTATTACCATGGTTCATAGATCTATGTATGCAAGAATCATTAACAGTGTTAAAGCGAGGTTGCCTCTCCAGTTTTATACTATTAATCCATATATCTCAGACTACTGTACATATATTGCCACGATCTATAATTCCCACCACTTTTCTTCAGATTTTAACATTTAGCATTTAGCACATAATATTATGCAGTAAAATTTAATCTGATTCAGAATACTCCAGACGTGCTTCGCCTGGCAAAAGGAAAATTGAAGCATTTTAGCTAGTGGAAGTAGGATTATTAGTCAACTAATGTGCCCATATATGGAACTCCAGTTTTGGCCTTCCTTCAATACAGCCTCCCTTCAACCTCTGCTAATGTGATCTTTCAAAAATCTGATCTTCCCGCATCTTTACTTTAACTTTTCAATAGTTGAATTTGTCAATAGAATCAAGTCCAAAGTCCCGCCATCACACATAAGGCTTGTCATGGTCCATCCTCTCTTTACCTCTCCGGATTTATAGCTCCCTGCACTTGAATGCCCTCTGTCTTAGCACTCAAAGTTTCAGCCATACAAATGAACTTGATGTTCTCCAAAGATATAATTCTTTCCCCCATCATATTACTTCAAATTATTGGGAAGCCCTTTCTACCTTTGGTCTGGAGAAAATCTACTCATCTTTCATGATTCCATTAAATGGTTCATTCAAACAAGAAAGAACTATGCCGTTTTTTTTTACCCCCGATCTCCTCTTTTCCCTTCAGAAACGGCACCGCCTCCTCTGTGTCCCCACTCTACCTTGTGCAGACTTTCTTTACTGGTACTTGCAACCCAGTCAGCTACACAAGAGGCAAAGTCTAGGTTATTTGTCCTGGCAACGGAGGCCACAAGAAGGAATTTGAATACTAGGCTAAACAAAGGAAATGCATCAAAAACAAGTTCTTACCTTTTTTAGCTGCTGTGTTTCAAGAAATGGTGCTTTGCTTACAATTTCAGGTTTAGATGGTTCCTCTAAAGTTAAGTAGAGAAAGGTTTTAAGTGCGTATGGAAGAATGAAAGGACACGGTGATTTAGCTTTTAGAAAAAATAATTCATTTGCTCCAAGTAGAAAAGCAAGCAATAATATATAGAATAGATTTGCTATATAAAATGTAATTAAGGAACCTAGTTAGTCCATCCCCCTTTGAATATTTGCTTTATTATCTTAAATGTTATTTTATATGCTTATAACTCCTTTGACTAAAATATCAATGTTTGGATGCTTTATGAATAGTGACCATGAATTTGATAATGAAATAGAGGTTAATGTACTAAATAGGATGTATTCTCTCCTATTGATGATCACGTCCACTTATCAATGGCTTCACCTTTCTTTAGGTGAAGACCTCAATGCACATTAATCAAAGTCACAGGGGTACTTGTTTAAAATGCAGATTTCTGAGCCCTACCTTGCTGACTGATTCAGAATCTCTAGGGGGAACTTCCTATAAATCTACATTTTTAACGAGTTCCCTAAGGGTTCTTAGGCACAATGAAGTTTAACATTGATTGCTAGAAAATCACCAGAAACACAAAGCTAGTTCAGGAATGCAGAAGCCCAAGTTTCCTGTGTATCTCAAACCTTATCTTTAAGTGAAGTCACATCATGAAACTATAAATGTGGGGGAATTTTTCAATTTTGGAATCTGAGATGGACAGAAGCATTTTAAATATAGGAACTTTTGTAAGCATACATTCTAATAGAGGCTTCAGGAAGAACTGATTAAAAAACTGATAGACATAGACAATAGTGTAGTGGTTACCAGAGGGTAAGGGGGGGGGGCCTGGTAGATGAGGGTAAATGGAGTCAAATATATGGTGATAGAAAGAAAACTGACTCTGGGCAGTGAACACACAATGTGATATATAGATGATATATTACAGAATTGCACACCTGAAATCTATGTAACTTTACTAACCCTTGTTACCCCAATAAACTTTAATTAAAAAAAAAATTCCAGCAACAAGGTATCATTTAAACTTATTTTAAGTTACTTAATTCTCAACAGTTAGTTTCTTTTTTTTGTTTTAAAGATTTTTATTGGGGATTTTGAGGGATGGGAACAGCGCTGGGGAATTGGGGGAAGGGGAACAGACAAGTTGCTGTTGTTTTTTGTTCTTCAGTCTAGTTGTGGAAGACGTTACTTCACTGGCCCAAGTTGGCACCATCATTGCGCTCTTCCTGGGTGAGGCACATCAGTCGCCGGCTTCTGGACGGCCGCTCACTGCGGCTGCTGGCTGCTCACGCTGCCTGCTGGCTACACACGGCAGCCCATGGCAACCCACTGCCACAGGGACTGCAGCCTACACCGTCGCCGGCGACTCACAGCAGCCCAGCTCCAGGTTGATCTGTTGTTCAGCATCTTAGCTGCAGAGGGCAGTGTCACTGGCCCTCATATGTGGGATCCGAACCAGGGCCTCTGGCGTCCCAAGCCAGTTCTTAACCATCGCACCACTCGGCCGGCCCCTCAGCTGCTAGTTTCTATCATTGATGGATTTTTTAAAATGTTTAGTTAGTTTTAACAATTATTCAACAGAAAATGATATTGCCTCACTGGCATTGATTTTTGTGAGTTTCATGGAGCAGAATTATTCTATTCTCATATAAACAGACTAATAAAAACAACTAGCTATTCTTTCTTTCATAGTCGTATTGTTTACCATCTCCAATACTTACAATTCTGATTACCAAACTAAACTAAATAGGCTTTTGTATATTTATTACTCAATTTTGAATTCAGTTATCAGAAATGTTACCTATCCAGTCCATTACAGAAAACAAGGATGAAGACAAAGATCTTTGGAGGAGCAAAATGAATTATTACCAAAACTCTATATAAAAATGTAACCTTCTTCCGATTAATATTGAGAGTTAATTTCCCCTTGCTATTATATTTTATATTACAAATTAGAATAATGAATAATAATAAATCTACCTAAGTGTGGAATTCATGTGCTTTAATTATAGGAGGGTCTGTTTATTATTAATTCTAGAAATATAATTCTCCTAATACAATTTTCACAAGAGCGATTATCTATTTTCTAAATATATAGACTGGAAACAAATCATAAAAAGGATAGAAAAATATAAAAAAGAAATACAGAAGCATAGAAAGGTGTAACAGAGACAATTACATTAGCCCGAACAAGAAGTGCCACCTAACCATGTGATGTTTAGGAATGTGACTAAAATACTTATAAAAACTAACAAAAATCTCAAAATAAACAGCAATTTCTGGGAAACATATGACAGGGGATTAAAGACTTCCGTATATCAGTAAGCCTTGATGCTACCATTATTTCAATGCAATGTCATTAATATTCATAATTACAACTCTGAGCTATTACTAAAACATTAAATTCTATTCAGAATTTATGTTTTGTTCCTTTTTAAAGAGTTTTATTGGGGAATTGAGGGGATGGGAACAGTGCTGGGGAATTGGGGGAAGTGGAACAGACAAGTTGCTGTTGTTTTGTTCTTCAGTCTAGTTGTGGAGGACGTTGCTTCACTGGCCCAAGTTGGCACCACATTGTGCTCTTCCCGGGTTAGGCAGATCAGTCGCTGGCTTCTGGACGGCCGCTCACTGCGGCTGCTGGCGGCTCACGCTGGCTGCTGGCTACATACGGTAGCCCATGGCAACCCACTGCCACAGGGACTGCAGCCTACGCCGTCACCGGTGACTCACAGCAGCCCAGCTCCAGGTTGAGCTGTTGTTCAGCATCTTAGCTGTGGAGGGCAGTGTCACTGGCCCTCATATGTGGGATCCAAACTGGGGCCCTCTGGCATCCCAAGCCAGTTCTTAACCATTGTGCCACTCGGCCGGCCCCAGAATATATGTTTTAACGCACATGTCTAAAACATTTGAGAGAGGGCTGCAACCAAAATATTTAAACATAATGAAAATTCTCGAGGCTTAAGTAGGTGAGCTCAAATCCTCTGGGAACTAAGATCAGTTATTTAGTAATACCTCTCTGAGAGCTCAAGAGAGGTAAGATATTAAATTTATTTATGTGGTCAATCAAGAGTCAAAATTAACAAGAAAAAAAGGTATAATTTTTTTTCTGTGTCTTCTTCAGTAGCATCTCTGCCTGGAATACATGGAGAGATTTGAAAAATCCTCTGAAAAAAGTGAGGCTCTTCATACAAAATGTGGGTAGGCAGTATGGCTAAGCTGCATTACTCTCTAGTTCACTAAAATCATATACTTAAACCGCTGGGCACATACTAACTGCCTCATATGTAGAATATATTTCTCTCCTTTGCTTGTAAACCCTGTGATGTTTTATCAATGCACATAAGATCATAAGCACTTGTTGTGCTACAATTGTTGATCCTTTACACATCGCCAGGTGTACTTTGCTTTCATAAATATTTTCTAAAATATATTCTTATTTCAATAAAATGACACTGTAGCAAACCAAGGCAAAACTGATGAAAGGGTGCTTAAAGTTTAGTCTTCTTTACACTGTTATTCATCTTTCTATTTGGAAGAGTCACAGTGGATATTGTGGAAGTAATGGTAATACCCATTGCTTTTCTTTGAGTTATTTTGTCTTTAAACTTTTGTTTCAAACCCCCTATATTAACTATATATTCTGCATGTAATTTTCTCTTCTATTAGCTGGTAACAATCGATGAGGATTAGTTTGAGGACCATAAAAGAGGACATGTACTATTTTAGCAAAATTGCATATTGATTCCCAAGTGTTTAAAAAATTTTTTATATGAATTATGTCTTAATATGAATCAAGGATTCATAACCAAGTACAGAGGTGAAAGGAAAAGCCAGGCCCCGAATTTATTTGCATTATTAAAATAATTTTTTCAATCGTCTCCCAGCCAGATGAAGGTGGAGTGATGAATGCAAAACTGCTCTTTATCACCCATAAGGTACAGTGTTATTATTGAAAACCACGCACAGCATAGATCGATCTGATACAGGAGGACAGCAGAATAAGGCAGGTGTACAGTTATGTTGAGTCAAGAGTGCTTCTCTCAGTACTTTGCCAGCAATCATCCTTCATAAATCCTGACGAACTTTAAGTAAAGCATTCTGAGCATGGAATCAGTTTATTTTCCTCATGAGATGCAAATGGTATTGTTTTTTATATTTAAAAGATCAAAATGAAATATATGGTGTAGGTCTCATTTGTTAAATAGGTCATTTTCTGCTTGTTTCATTAAAAAAAAAAAAGATTACTTGCAGATTTATTAACTTTCATGGGGAGAGGAGTAGGTATGCTCAATTCTGATAAAGCATTGAGAACAGGATCCAAATGAAAGCTCCAAAATAACTGCGTGAAACCAGCCAGCACTGCCCATCATGAAGAGAAGAGCTGGTTCAGGTACCAGAACCTGTCATGGGAACAGTCTTCCTTTTAACATCACAGACCTCAGAGTCCAAGAGGGTAGACAGGTGAGCCAGGATTGGTAGCTTTCAAATGCTTTTGTAGGGCTGGAGTTCTGCCCACACCCTCTTTTTCCCCTGAAAAATTATCATGAAAAAACTTTGAAATATTGAGTAGGTGAAATTCTAGCTAATGGAGCAGAAGCAGCTCCTCACCTCCTCAGCTCTCTTCATTAGCTCCTCAAAAGGATCCTAGAAACACAGTGGGAAAACTGCCACCTAATTCAAAGAACTCATTTTACTAATGAGGAGGGATGTGTAGCCCCACATAGGTGAGGTGACTTGCCCGAGGTCAGAACTTAGCAGCCTAACGAAGCTAGGTCTCCTGATAACCAGTGGAGTGATTTTTCCATTACACCACTGACAGCCATGTGGCAATTCGGGCACCGATATGACCTCAAAGACTTTTGCACAATGGCTGGAATAAAACTTTGGGAACTTTTAAAGGTCTATTCTTGCTTTTGAAAGGTTGTATTAACTTTGAAAGTGCATTAAATGCAAACGCAGTTTGATTTTGATGCTATTCAACTACCAAAAAATAACTTTAAAAAGACTTGTATTAATGCTGACAAAGCACATGATCTGTTTGGATCTGCACTGCTTTATGGGTATGATTTCTTGCACCTGAGGTATAGGTTAAAACTGAGCAAACAACCCTACATCAGAGGTAACAAAGCTGTCAGCCATGACTTCTAGTTTGAAGAAAAACAAGTTGACTTTGCCCATGAGGAAGACACTCCAACAAGCTGATCTGGGATTAGCTCATGTCCACCATGCTCAGCTCTCTGGTACATAGTACATGTTGCTAGGTGATTCGACAGAAGGAAACAGAGGGCTGATTGATGAGCCTAGTAACTCTTAAGTGACTGCAATATATACATGCAGAGAATGAAAGCCTCCCTGTCACAGCTGCTGTTTGCTTCATTAAAAAGTGACCCAAAGTAAAGTCATTATTTTTTTAAAAAAAGTGAAGTCCCTATATGCTTTTGTAAACACTTTCTTTATCATGAGCTGCACTGTTTGATTAGAGTTGGAGTGTCCCACGGTTTCTAGCATAAAACGCCATTTTCAAGAGTGTGCAACTTGTCTATTTAAATTCTCCCTGGCCCAGAGCCTGGAATGCAAATTCTTTTTCTGAGAATCACTTTGTTTTCAATAACATTCAGAAGAGAAGGGGGTAGGGGGTGCTATGGTATGGGGGTGTGAGTTTGTTTTCACAGTCATAGAAATCCTTTGTATTCCGAAATGGCTTACAAATTTTATCTAATTAGGCCAATTGTATTTTTTATTCCAGATTGCTATATGGAATTTTTAAAGAATATATTCTGAAAATTGTCACAAATGAAGTAACCTGGATTTTTTTCAACTTTTTTGTATACTATTTGATATTTGGTAATTTTAACACAGTAGAAAAGGAACCCGTCAATGACAAATCAACACACATAACCTTTAGAGTGCTGTGAGTTCATCTCTGTACCTACTGCAGTATATTCTTCACATGTGTTTATATTTATGACATCATGACCTAATTAAATACATTTGGTTGCTTTCTTTACATAAAGTGTCCCTAGTAGGGCACCATCCATCTTCCTAATAACATCAAAGTGAAATAAACGAAAGGAAAGAAAATAAATACATGGGACATTGTCAAATACAGGATGCAGATTATTTGGGGTGTTTAGAAGAAGACAGCATGACTGACAAACACTTGGTATTTGGTTTGATTCCTAAAGTAATTGAGAAGGGTGGATGGTTTCTGGAAGGTGCCTTCTAAGCGAAAAGGGAAGCAACTGACACGTGTAACATGCTTTTACATGGTTCTTCTGGAGAACAAAGGTTTCCTTTGATAGCATAAGCACTCTTGGAATCTGTGTCTTGAGATCAGGGAGCTTTGATGTCCATACAAGTACGTAAGGGACAGTCTTACTTAGTTGCATAAGTTATTACAGGAGAAACAGGAAAAATCCGTGGTATCATGCTGTAGTAGCAAGGCCCTCTGGGTTTCTTTCTTCCCTATTTATTTTAATAATTTCTAGGTGCTGTAAAATCACAAGAAAGCAGAGGGAAAACAATGAAAGTGAGACCTTCTTCCCTGACTAAAAAAGACTGGCATTCGGAAACTGTTGAGGCTTTTTTTTTTTTTTCTGTACTTTCTAAAATATTATGATGGAACAGAGGTGGGACTTTTTATTTGAATATTAAAAGATAAAATGCTTTAATTAGAAGTTCTCGAGCCACTCATTTGCCTAGATGTTTGCACAGTAACATTAACTATATATTATCATTAAGCAAAGTAACTGTGCCGTCATGACTACAGTAATTCCTCCAGATTTCTTCCACACTTTTCTTATAATCCTACTCTACTTTTTTCCCTTTGTTGTATTCCATAGACACATTCAGGATGCAGTGAACTTTTTAATTTTAGGGCAATTTTATAAACCACCTGAACATTTTGAAGAAATAAATCAACAAGCACTGAAGGTCAGGATGTGTGTGTGTGTGTGTGTGTGTGTGTGTGTGTGTGTGTGTGTGTGTGTCACACATATATAAAGCTTAGGTTTCTAAACCACAAAATAGTTTGGATTTGCCTGTGTTTTATTTTTTATATATCAAAATGTCAATTTTATATGGTTCTTCTTACTACACATATACGAGTATGTATGCATGACATCCACGATTATGTGTATGTATGTGTGTATCACAGAATACTTATTTGTACATGTCAGTGAAAGTTACAGATCACATGCCAGTTTTCACTTAATAGTGCTTCATATCAGAGGCAATTTTACCCGACAAAACCACAGAGAACACTTTAGCTCCTCACTGAAAAAGCCCTATTTGAATTGCAGGATTTTTTTGTTTTCCTCACTGACAGCATGCATGAGCAGAATAAAGATCACTAGAAATCCTTTTCTATAGATGCCTGCTGTGGAGACACTACAGAGAGTTCAGTCTTCTTTCTAAAGAGCATTCTCTAGTACCAGCCATCAATCCCACTTAGCAGTTATGCCGCAGACTACTTACTGAACACCTTGACTATTGTAGGTGCCTCAAACACGTTGTCCTCAGTCACGAGCATGCACACAAATCTCTTTTCATCACTGATCCTGGCATTACTGATAGACAAGGTGTAGTTTTCTGAGAGGCTCAATCTGTCTTTGTATTCTGGTACATCATCATAATGAACGCTTTTCTTTGTAGAGGACCGGAAGGCAATAAATACGGGGGAGCCGTCAGGTTTTTCCTAAGAAATTAAAACGATAACACATTTTAAAAACAGGCATATGCAGATGTTTCAGGGTCACATCCAGGAGACCATTTCTTTGATCCTGTTCTTCCACCTATATTTATAATTGTATCCGAGAGGAATCATTTTGTATATTTATTTGGATAAAAATCTTCGGTTACAGAAAAGTACTCTTCACAGGAGGAGAAGCTGTAATTCTTTTACAGCTTCTGCTTAAATGTGTGGAAAGGAAAGGATGGAGCTCTCGGAATTTGAGCTTTTCTTGCATCTGGAGGACAGAATTAGTGACTGTTTTAAAATTGACAAGGGCTAGCCTTACATCTAATATAAAAGAAAAAATAGTTGAAAACAAACATGCAAATGTACAAAATGATTTTCAGCTAACCATCACAGCAAGCATACACTTGAGCTGCAAACACTTATTTAGCAATCCTGGGCAGTTGCCTTTTGCATATTCATTACCTTAATCCACATACTTTCTATGTCTATACCTTTCAGTTTCAGCCCAAACTGACACAGCTAACCTTTACAAATAACAGTTTAATGAGTCTTCATGGAGGAGCAGTATTTGCCCCTGTGAAACAATCATGTACATTAAACAACAGAATCAGATTAATCACTAAAACCCCATAGTTTTGCTTTCTGAGTCATAAAACTTAGTTCAAAGGGCTTTCATATAAAAACTTATTATCAAAATAAGACATAATCTAGGCATACACAATGATGCCAAAAGCACTGAAACATATACATTCATTTCTTCCTCTGCTCCCACAAAAATTCTCTTACCTAATAAGGAATTTAATCCAAAATGGGGACCAATCTCTTTTCTACTTACCTCACAAGACCTTTGAGAAAATAAAATATGATAAACCATTTAAAAATGCATTTTTAAGTGCACTTAAAAGGCAAATTTCAAGTTTCATTTTAAAAATTATTAGGATTATTAATGTTCAGGACTAAATGTTTACATCCTCACCAAATCCATATGTAGAAGCCCAAGCTCCCACGGTGATGGTATCTGGAGGTGGAGCCTTTGAGAGATAATTAGGTTTAGATGAGGTCGTGGCAACGGTGACCTCACGATGGGATTAGTGCCCTTGTAAGAAGGGGAAGAGACACAAGAGCTCTCCCTCTCTCCATAAGAGCACAAGAAGAGGTCACATGAGCACAGAGCAAAATGCCAGCAGTCTACAAATCAGGAGGAAGACCCTCACCAAGAGCTGAACCAGCCAGCACCTTGATCTTGGACTTCTCAGCCTCCAGAACTGTGAGAAAGAAATACCTGTTGTTTAATGGGCCGGCCGAGTGACTCAGTTGGTTAAGGGCTCGCTCAAGAGTTTGAGCTCTGAGCAACAGCGGTTCAATTTCCAGCCCGAGCTGAGCAGCCGTTGAGCTGCCAACAGGTGGCAGGATGGCTCAGCTTAAAAAAAAAAAAAAAAAGAAAAAAGAAAAAAGAAATACATATTGTTTAAATCCCCAGTCTATGGTATTGTGCTATAGCAGCCCATCCTAAGGCAATTACTAAGCTAACCTTGGAGTTCAAAAGTTCTAGTTGGTTGAATATCTGAATACATTAATAATATTCACTTTAAATTGCTTTTGTCACAGGTTCACAATGTAAATCCTCGCCCTAAATCATTCCTCATTAAGAGAAACATGGTAGACCAGTACCTTGAATTTCTATGTTCATTGACTTATGCAATAAATAACAGCTATTAAATTTTGAGCACTTAACTATATGCTAGGTACTTTCTTTGGGCTTTCCATGCATTAATTGATTTAATACTCATAACAACCCTGTATGTTAGAGTTATGATATTAGTGCCATTTACAGATTAGACAATGGAGACACTTTGGCGAAATAACTCATCCAAAGATCCAGCTACTGTATCCCAGCAGAGCCAAGATTCAAGCTCAGCAGCCTGGCTCCACTATGACTACCCTGTACCACGCTCAACAGCTATGAGACACCATTTCTGTACCAGAACTGATGAAGATGCTGGTGAAGAGGTGGGGGGGAGAGGGTTACAGAGGGGTGCACAGCGAGCTAGGACATTCACTGACAGACTACCATGCAGTAGGAGAGAAGGTCATCCATCCTTCCTCTAGGCTTGCTCCCTTTCACTCTTTCCAAACCTGCCATCTGCCTTTCGGGCTACATTAAATTAGAACTTGTATACTATGTCTGCCAGTCAATGCTGGTTTTAGAGCACATGGTACTCCAAATAGATCTCATCAGTTTACTGCTGAAGCTTTTTGCTTAATTAACAATTTTAAAACTGCCATTATTGTTGGTTTCCACAACCATTGTGCCAGTTCAGTCTAGGTGAAAATTATTCCCTGCATTATTTGTCAAAAACGTCTGCGATCACAGAAGTTTTAACCATCTGTGTTCCATTTATTTGGCCAGTAAGCTTGACTTAACAGGTGAATTATGTGGTAGTCTCCAAGACTGGAGGAATTTTAGGGGTGCCAATAGACTTTGTCCTCATAGGCCTTCGCTTCTTATTTCCACTTTTACAGGGACCCAGAAATAGTTCAATGTGAGCTGAGTTCACAGCATGAGCTGGGTACCAGGAGGAGAGGACAGAGAGTGTTACGTCCCCTCACCTCTTGGCCTTCCTTTCACATGCCCCTCACACACAGTGTGCTTTCAGCTTGGCAGCCCCACAGCCATAACAGCTTATATTTTTCATAGAATATTCATGTGCCAAGCACTAGGTAAGTATTCCATATAAGTTACTTCATGTAACCCTCACAACACTACAAGGAAGATAATTCTTATCTCATCTTGGTGAGAAAATGGGAATTAATTCACTAGTTCAGAATTCCACAGCGAGTATGTGGTAGAACATATTGGTCTGACTTCAGAACCCATATTTTAAAAGACCGTGTTATACCGCCCTTTGGGTGCAGCCTTAAGCACATTTCCCAAAGTGTGTTCTGCAAAATGTTTGTTCTTGCAGATATCTGAGGAAAAAAGGTTGCATGGTTAAATAAACCTAAGAAATTAATCAAACTTAGACCATTCATAATGTATCTTAATATGTGAAAGGCTCTGAGAAGCGTTGTAGTAAAGAAACTTCAAAAATTTCTTGACCATCAAATCCCTTTCTTATTCAAATACATACCTTTTAACATTCCAAGGAGTTAGGGAAATTTTGCCATTGTGTGTCAGGAAACATATGTCTACGTTAAGCTTGCAACTACCATGAGTCTCATATTATCCAGCCTTGGGAAATCATGCCTCATGAAACACCTTTTGTTGGTTTTGGTAATTAAATTGAGAAATTTTATCAGTTGATGTTACCTAGCTACCCCACATACACCTACTAGGATATCTACTCTTCACTTCCAGACCTACCTACACCTTGCTACCTGAGAAAATAGGATTTTGCTATTTGTAAGAAATGGATAAAATCAACAATGTTAAATGCAAAAAGGACCTACCACATTAACACAGTTCTAAGGCTAAACACCAGAAATGAGCTTCAAATGTTGATGAATAATTCCCAATGAATATTTGGGCACTCTGGCTACTGGTGTGTCTTGCTTTTGCAATAACCCACCAAGTGGAACACCAGTACGTAGCGGCTGTCCTTCGCTAAGCTCTGTCCTATGCTTCACTCATTTTGCTCTGAAACGCTGCCTTTTCCTCTGCCTCTAAAATTGAAGGTTGAGTCATTCAGACTACTGTGATCTAAGAATTAGGTGCTTATTGGCATTATTTTAAAATAGCATTTGCTATGTAAGACTGAAGAATTATTCTTTCAACATATTCAACACATGAATTCTACCTTCCTACATTTGTACCACAGTTGAATATTGCCATTATGTTAACTTTAAATTCACATTCACTCACAGAAGGAATTTTATTTAAAAAACCAGAGGCAATTAACCAAATCCAAGGTAGGTCACACTTACATATTTCCATTTGCCAAACATGAGATTCTGAGGTACATCGAGTCGGCAAGGCATGATAATGGTATCGCCATATGCTGAATTTACAGTATACAATCCAAGGCCTTTAGGGAAAAAGAGGGGGGAAAAGAGAAAATTTTAAGTGTTTTCTTGATGTAACAAAGTATAGTAGTCCCCTTATTTGTGGGGCATACATTCCAAGACCCTCAGTGGATGTCTGAAACTGTAGATAGTACCAAACCCTATGTTTATTATGTTTTTTCCTACACATACACACCTATGATAAAGTTTAATTTACAAATTAGGCACAGTAAGAGATTAACAACAATAACTAATAGCAACATAGAACAGAGCAGGATGGTGCAAAATTTTATCTCACTACTCAGAATGGTGCTCATTTAAACTTATGAATTGTTTTATTTCTGGACTTTTCCATTTAATATTTTCAGATGGCAGTTAACCATGGATAACTGAAACCTCAGAAAGCAAAACTTCGGATAAAGGGGAACTACTATAAGTAACTTCAGTTCAAGGTGCATATCTTAATGAAGGTTATCTGTTATAATCTTATCTTAAATGGCATACTAACAGTATGAAGCTAGAATATATTTACTATTTATCAACAACTCTTATTTAGCTACTAAGCTTTTCAATGTCACACAATTCAAATTTACAGACTGGCCTCGATTTTATCAGGGAATACATAAGGATGTATTCCAAAGGACCAGAGTGCAATCTAAGGGTGTATTTTCTCTGTATTTCATGGGAAAAGCATTCACGATGTTTCACAGAAACGTGGAACTATGCAAAGATTAACATGCATTAAATTCTCAAAGCTGCCTTTAAATATATTTGTGTTTTTATTTGATAACACTGTCAAATTTATTTTATAGAAAAAAATGTTAAAGTATTAAAAACTAGGAACTAATACATATAAGGCTAGAATGAATTTTAAGTGGGAAAATAACCATGAAAATGGCTTATTTCAGAGTAGTAATAGTTAAAATAGTAGTTTTAATTTTATTGTATGTAAAATATCATGATAAAAATTTGTAGTATGAAAATTCTTCATAGTTACAAAGTGATTATCCTCCTTTTTTGGTAGACAATCTAACTTAAACCTCAATTTGCTACTAAAGTACAGAGAACTTCCTGTTCTAATTTAATTCTTTATCGAGAAAAAAATGTAAATGATAAAAAGTTAAATTGTTAAAAAACCCCACAATTTTTGCATATGTATATAACATACTATTCAAACCCATATATATTCATGAGGTTTAAAAAAAAATTCAGACATTTTACCAGGCAATAGTACTTAGGAAACATCTCAGATTTTTTTTAACCTCATTCTGGTTACAATAATCTTTCAGATTAAATACTTTTATAATTAAGATATGTCCTAATTGGATATAGATTGTGAGGCTAATTTTGTAGCGAAAATGATATTTTGTCCACCAGGTGGTGCTAAAGTGCAAAGCTAAGGCAATTTGCAACATAGAAATAAGACCATCTTAGGACTTTCTAAAGAAAACAAGACACAGTGAATACCATATTTGACTGCTACTCATTATTCACAACGTGTACAAAATTTTATGTAGGGATAAAAATCAGTAACCTTTGTAAAGAAAAAACGTAATAAAATTCCTATTTTAAAATTCTGTCAATCGAGGAAGCTACTTCCCTTTAAAGCAATTTTGTCCTAGCGAACACTACAAAGAACACAGATTTTATGCATTTATGTCACATAACAACTAGTTTCCAGCATTGTTAACATTGTCAAAATAAAGAATACAAAGTATAAACCACGAGAATGTGTTTTTCACTTGCTCTTGGAGACAAGATATTTACTAAAATTATTTATTATATGTTCACTGTTATAAATATAAATTACCTCAGCAATTTTTAAATTGTTTAGAGCTCCCCAGACTGTAACTTTAATTCTTGTTAACTTCTAACCATTGAAGAGCATAAGCCTGGGAATGAAGAAGTGATCTCTTAAGCCTTATTAAAATAAAAATTGTGAGGGCTTAGAGATGTGGTTGCAGACATACCAACTAATTAAGAGTTAAAAAATTGCTTTATTTCACAATACAGTACTTATTTTCTGATACTTTGACTCCTAAATGTGTAACTTCTAAGATCTGTTCATGCACAATATAGGGGCAAGTATGCCAAGCCAACGAATCCATTTTGTGACTTAACATTTTCTTTTTTCATCAGGATAGCAAGTTGCTTGAGTATGTAATAACTCTTAAGATAATTTGGATCTGTACCGTAAATTATGGCAGGACACATCTCTCATGATCTCTTATCATTATAAAAATACACCTTCTTTTGATAATGACATGGTTGGTCAAGGAGTGAAAACAATTCACAGAGCTTAGGTACTAATGAGGTAAATCCCTTGCCAGGTGTACAGAGAAATAAGAAAATTCCTCTTCTAAAAATTTAATGCTTTCCTCTTTCTTTCAGATCATTTTTATTTTATCTTCCCTATAGAACTATAATGATATTGGTGTATATATATATATATATATATATATATATATATATATAAATTATAATAAATTTTAAAGCTATATGAATTTCAAGTACATAGTGTATTAACATGATGAAAGTGAAATTACAACAGGGAAGGGCCTATTTTATGTTAATCTTTACATCCCCAGGAGCAAAGTCTGGCGTTGAATCGGCATTTAATAAGATGATTTCTCACTTGAATGTTGTGGAGTCCTTTCCATTTTGTTTATTAAATGAACATTTGAAAATTAGGAAGGAGTTGATAGCACTGGGACTTTGAGAATTCTTATTCCTACCATACACTCTAAAGGCTGTCATATATTGTCTTTGATGTGTGTAGAAAACATGGATTTGTGCTTGGATGGCATTCTCGTTTTTGAAGAGAAACAACACAAAACAAACCTTTTTATAAGAGTTCATAGATGAAACTACAGGAGAGAACATTCCTCCTTTCCCTTTCAAGAGAAATTAAAGATTATTGGCGTTCTGTGATTTGCAAATGATACTATGAAATGCCTTTTTCTTACTTGTGAAGACCATAAAGCACAGAGTGGTTTCTAAAAGTGTTTGAAAATTCATGCATTGGGTCTTAATGACAGTTTGTTATCCAAAATTAGCCAGGACAGGACTCTTTAAAGCATAACAAACATAAAGAAAATACAACATGTGACAAAAATGAGGCCAGTAGTTAAAAGTCCAACAGGTACAGACAGAAGCACTGGTCTATAGACTTAGGGCAGAATGAATGATAACGAGCTGACAGCATTAAGACCCACAATAATGAGAATTTTAGAAATAATTTTCAAGTTAGTTATAATCAACTTTCCTCTTCTGGTAAGAGTATACCGACTCCCAGGTTCATCTCACAGAAAGAGTGAATGCTTGAACCTGTGGGAGAGCTAATATTCTAAGCCCCTAGGGATGAAGTGGCTACAAAGACATCACAGTGGTGATGAATTAGCATCCTGATTTCTAGATGTCTCTAGAGGCGAAGTGCCAATGAGACCCAAAGTACCTGTCAGCACAAATGATTCTGTTTATACTTTTCATATAACAGAAACATTTTTTCTTTGAATTGCCAAGTCTGAATTAAATTTGGCTTACTAGAATTTCCCTACAATTTTCTCCCTGTCATTTTAATTGGTTAAATTATTCATGGTTTTATAGCCTAGAGACTATTGGACCCTACTGCAAGTATAGAAAGCCTATGATGTCCTTCGTCAAAGAGATTAAATATAAAATATAGAAGGAATGTGTGTGTGTGCACAAGTGTGTACATTTCTATGTGGTACATGTTATATCTACATGTACATGCATATAACATAAGATACTTTAAAATGGGCTAGAAACTTTCTGTATTAAATGTGTTCTATAAATTTAAGGTACTGTTATGAGTTATTAATATTATTATTACTATAAAAATATCCTAACATAAAATAAAACATAAAAACATTTTATACTTGAGAAGCAGTGTGTAACTATTTAAGCATTTTAAAAAAAGAGTTATTAACTAAAGGACAATAGAACTAGAAAGGCTATACAGGAGAATTCTCTGAAAATACAATGGAAAAAGCACAGCATAAGAAAATCTCTTGACCAAATAATTCTGACATACAGAGTCTCAGGCAAGTAGGAGGTAGTTATAGTTATGCATTTTGTATAGAAAATAATTTAAAGAGGCATTGAAACAGACTTTGTAAAATTTTGAAGTTAGGTGAACACTTCTTACTTGTAATTGAAATAATAAAAAATGTAATCATCTTGGCCATATTGGTGAGAAACACTTTTTCTGTATAAACTAATCTTAAGGACTACTACCAAGTTCAGAATAATCATCCTGTTTGCATGGCCAACATATAGACATTTGCATTAAGGTAGTGTAAAATTCAGAATCTGCTACCACATTTCAAGTAGAACAGCAAATAATATAGAAAATAGGATGAGAACTAAACAGTCTATTTTTACATGCTGTAATTCAATGTGGTTAATTGTTTTTTAGTACACTGATATTTTAATAGCATCATCATTCTTAAAGGCTTTTTTTTTTAGTTCTGCAGCTCTGTTAGGAGCCATAGAAGAGTTATTCACAATTACAACCAGCTCAGAGCTTGTAAAAACTAACTTCTAGTTCTACAGGAATTTTAGAAAAATTTATTTGTGTAAATGAATTGTTTGGGGAGGAAGTAGGTAGAAATAAGAACGTTATCCTAAGAGGTTACTTTCATATTTATTTGACTGAATTTGACATGTAAACATACTAGTGTCCCTATGTGCTTTATTAATGAATTAAGATATGTACGACTCTAACTAAAACATGTAAATATTTTGTAATATCAGCCTATAGCAGTGTTTCCCAACCTCCTCATTACTCATCATTATTTGGGGCTGAATAATCAATCTTTATCACGGGGGATTGTCCTGTGTATGTTTAGCAGCATCTGCCTCTGCCCATTAGATGCCAATGGCACCCTTCCCCAGTTACAACAAGAAAATTTCCAGACATGACAAATGGAACATGGCCCCACAAACTCCTGTCTAATTGAGAACCACTGGTTTAGAACTTCAACTCTTGGCTTCTTTCATT